GGAAGCTGACCTCAGACTTCACAGTGACTTTACTAGTATGAGGACACATTAGAGAAGCCACATGGGGGGGTCCTAGCTTGAGGACCCCTAGAATGTAGGATTATCAGATGTTAGCAAATAAAAATGCAGGATGTATGTGTAAGTTCAAATAAATAACATATACATTTTAGTTAAGTATGTTGTATAAAATATGTGGAATATACTTATGCTAAAACAGTTTTTCCTTTTTTTAGTAGTTTGTCTGAAATTCCAGTTTGACTGGGCATGCTGACTTGTGTCAGGCAAGCTTCTTTGAGGACAGGCCATGGGGCCAGGCCAGTGGGAGGCTGGCAGGACTCAGCCCACTTACCTGGAGAGAGTGCTGGGGGTCCTCCCACTGGTTGAAGATATGACTGTCGGACTTGACCCTGTGGTTGTCCTTGCTGCCGTAGTTGTCCTCTCTGGGGCTGAACTTTGTGGAACTAAACATACAAAGCAGAGCACAGTTCACCCCTTCTGTGGACAGTCCAACTCTGGCTGTGGTCTAAAGGCTGTTCCACCTAGGAATTAAGGAGCTTCTCCTCTGGCCTCCAAGACTCTCTGGTTAGCATCCACACGTTCCATGAATTCTTTTCCAAAGAAAAACTCATCACCATATGAGAAGTAGAATATCCTCATTAATTCAGTCCTGCCTGGCACAGCTTAGTAGGCTCCAGGGCACCTGGCTGTTTTGGGGCCAGGCTGGCTCCTTGTCACCTGTTCTGAAATGCAGCCACCTTCTGAGTGCTGCCCCTCCCTGGCCCCACTCTGGGCAGCCCAGGATTCCTGGCCCTCTGCAGTGGGCCCTGCACCCTCTGCCTCTGCTCCTCCCTCCTGGGCTCTTTCCTGTCTCCCAGCAGCTTTACTCCCTGAGCCAGTGAAGTCTTGCGAGGCCTCCCTGGTGCTGCCAATTCCTGCTGCCCCATACTCTGCTCGCCCTGCCTGACTGTTGATACTCAGCTTCAGGATGATATCTTTCCATTCTTAAAATGAAGTGCAATTCACACATAATAAACTTTATTATTTAAAGGAAACAATTAAAAAAACTCTAAAATATGTATATACCTGGTAACACCAAGAGTGTGACTGTTGGTCTTGTATAGTACCAAGGACTATGCTAGTCCAAGTCCACTAGTGACCAAGTCCACTAGTGACTATGCTAGTCCAAGTCCACTGTCTACTCACACCACATTCATAGTAGTGAACATATCATAATCCCCACAAATTGTCTCACATTCATTGTCCTCCCCACCCTGTGTCCAGGTGACAAGGATTGAATTGTGTGCCCCAAACGTCATATGTTGAAGCCCCAACCTAGTACCTCACAATCTCACAATGTGACTATATTGGAGATAGGATCTTTAATGAGACAATTAAGTCAAATGAATCTGTTAAGGTGGTTCCTAATCCAATTGGACTGGTGTCTTTGTAGGAAGAGGAGATTAGGACACATGAAGAGACTCCACGGGTGGCCAAGCACAGAGGGGTGAACACATGAAAGGGGAGCGAAAAGGTAGCCATCTGCAAGCCAGGGACGGAGGCCTCAGACAAAACCACACCTGCTGACATTGTGATCTTGGACTTAGCCTCCAGACCTGTGAGCAATACATTTTTGTTGTTTATGCCTCCCACTGGGGGGTGTTTTATTTTGACAACCCTAGCAAAACAATGTAGCGGGCACTGATATATTTCAGGAAATATCAATTACAGTGTAAATTCTTTTGTGGGCTGGTGTCTTTAACTTGGCATAACTATTTCATTGTTTGTGTATCAGCAGAACATTCCTTTTAATTGCAAGTCTATTCCATTGGATAGGTACAGATATTTTGCAGTTTTTAAATCCTTTCAAATGTCAAGTACAGGACATTTGATTATTAAGTTTCATATATTCTTATTTTATTTCTTGTTGTTTGAGGCAGGAGTTAAGTCTAGAATCTGTTACTCAGTGTTGTCCAGAGGCAGAAGTGTTAGAGTTTCCTTTATTTTGTGTGAAAGGTCAGTTATCACTACACAATGGAGCATGTGAGACAGACATACCTCAGTGTGGGTGTGGGAAGGGAGAGCATTCTTCCCCACCTCAGTGGAGACAGATAGGGGAAAGTGGGCTCTGCAAGGGACCCCTGTAGGGGACATGTCCCTACCTGGTGTCTGTATCCAGCTCTCTTTGCTCAGCTGAAGCTCCTAAGACAGATGGTGCTGAGTCTGGATTCCCCCCAAACTCTAAGAGGCTCAGAGATGAGGGGACAGTGCATGGGCAGGTGGACTAGGCTCTCTCCTTTGCTAGTAATACTTTGACAGTAATGGGTTGGGGTCCCTCACCTTGACCCCTGGCCAGAGATGACTGTGGAGAGACAGAGACCCCAGAAGGAGGAGCTCCTGGGAGTTCTCAGCCCCATTGAGGGCAGGCAGGACTCTGAAGTAATCTGGACCTGGCTTCCCGGGGTTCTGTGCCTCCCTCCATGTCTGGTGAGTGAAGAGATAAGAGTAATTTTCCCTTTGAGGGTGTCACAGTGGATGGTGCAGACCCCCGAGACTTAACTGGAAGCTCCAATGGAGCTGTTGGGCTTGTACAGTACCAAGGACTATGCTAGTCCAAGTCCACTAGTGACCAGGTTGGGGACACTGTGTCTATTAAAGCCCTGCTACCCAAACCCCAAGTGGAACATGCCCCACAGGTGACAGATGTGGCCCGGTCCTGAGCTCTGGGTGTTGCCCGTGTGCCATGAGGGCCTTCTGGCTGTTGCACACTGTCTGAGGGGAGCAGAAGCCCAGCTCAACAGATAAAGTTATATGTAGGGGATAAGATCCTTTTGCTCAAGACATGGCAGTTCGCCTCAATGTGCCCTCTCTGGTAAACTGCTTCCGAGAAGCGCATTCCTTGTGGATCTGAGCATCTGCACTTGCCTATTGATGTGCAGGAATGTGTAGAGTGACTCTCCCTAGGGGGCGTGGAGAAGTAGCCGAGATGAGCTGGAGGCTGGAAAGGCGGGTTTTGAAGCATTGGGTTCTATTCCCTGCCTCCCTCCTTCAATTAGCATTATAATGTGTTACCTTACCTTGGGCAAGAGAGGACCGACAGCCAGGCTCCAAAATGTTTTACTCTAAACAAAATCAATTGTATATGCCTTCCTCAACCTTCACACTAAATTGTAATCTCAAATGGTTGCTTCCTCACAATACTTGACTTCTTTGTATATGTGTTAAATTCTTACTAAATGTTGGAAAGTATATAAGATACTGAGTAAAGTTTATCGGGGCCGCCGACCAGAGCGAGTCCGGTCTCCCTTGAAGATTCATTCCGTTTGCAGTTCTTTCCCCTGCGTCATTGAACAGAAGTTCCGAGGAACAAAAACACCATCTACAGTTATACAAATCAGGGAGCTGGGGCCCCGGAGCTCAGCCTCCAGGAGGGTCTGCCTTCTAGAAGGACTAGGGAGACATCAGGGAGCTGGGGCCCCGGAGCTCAGCCTCCAGGAGGGTCTGCCTTCTAGAAGGACTAGGGAGACGACGTGCTTACACTCAAATGTGCAAATGGAGCTGGGTGAGTCCAGGCCCCAGGAATGTGGTCATTTGACTGTGAAGGCCTTTCTGGATCTTAGGATTGCACCCCAGCATCTCAACTACACGGGCCTCTTTCCCCACAGGTTGGATATGGGGTTGGGGTGGGAACAGCGCCTGTGAAGGCCATGGACAGCAGGGCACACCTGAGGACTATAGGCCCCAGGAAATCACTGGCTGGGAGTGGGGTCTCTGGGTGCCATGGAAGGGGGTCCTTTTGGCACACAGACTAAAACTGGGACCATCACCTTGCCCTCTGTGATTAAAAAACATACACACTGACTGAACTGTGTAGAGAAAAAAATGACCATGTCTGCAAAGGGTTAATCTTTCCTGGAGGGGCACTGCTTTCCCGGTCCTCAGATAGTGGGGCTCTATGAGTCCTCAGGACTCAACCATCCTCTGCAAAGGTCACGCTGAGTGACAGTCAGTTCACTTGAGTGGGACCTCAGGGACAGGACAGAGCAGGCCCTGAAGAGATGCTCCACACCCTCTTACCTGGGTCAATGGTCACCTTAACTTGGACCCCTTTGTCAATTCCAGTTCTTTGGATGATACACCAGTAAGTGTCAGCGTCATCTCTCCTGAGCACCTCCATGGTCACATTGAATGTGTAGTCTTTCCAACTATCCCGGATGGACACACGGTCCTTCTTCACCTCTTCCTCTGTTCCAGCAGTCTCAACAAGGATCTTACAGGCGGCCCACTCAGCCCCTCGACACCACAACTTCCGATGGGTTTTCCACTCTGGGTTATAATGACACCGCACGGTCAGTGAGCCCCCCTCTGGACCACTCACTGCTCCTGGACCAGTGATTGGATCCTCTCTAATCTCAGCATTGGGGGAACCTGGAAAACAAATCCATGTATCTGTCACTCCCCATCCCAAGGGCAGGGCCACAGCCTCTTGCCCTGGGAACAGCTCCCGAATGCAAGTGTCCCATGAGTTAAAGAACACTCAGTGAAGAAATACACCTTCCAAGTGACAAACTTTTGCCCTTCAATATCCCACTGGGTCAAAGCCACCAGAAAAATCACTGGAGAGCTCTGCCACAAAAAGGAAAAGAGAATGTTGCTACTGAATGTTAACAGCTTCTTGCAATTCACCACTCTCCACCTCCCTATGGCCAATAAATCTTTGTATTTTAAGGAATCCTTCTTGAAACTATTTTTATATTATACTCATCTGATGGGGAGAAAAAGACCCATTTCCACAGAAGAATGATGCTGCCTTGACCTTGGACTCTTCCCGGCAGTTGTAAGGGTGCCCAGTGGCTCTGCTGTAGTGACCCAGCCTGGAGGATTGTCTTTGACGTTCACCGAAACAGTGATGCCAGATGGTCTCCAGGAACCATGGGTCTTAGAGTGCCCATAAGTTGTTGTAAATTCCAGTTTAAAAATTCCTAGTAAGAGCTCAGCTTTAAGGCAAAGCAGGTCAAGGTCAGGTACAAACAGCATCACCCATTCCATGCCCTCCTGTGTCTCATAAGATTTTTACTAAACTCAGTCATGATGATTCACCCAGACTTAAAGAGAGAGAAGCGGACAGGCCTCATTAGCTCTTTTTTTCTAGACAGTCTGCTCCTGGAAACACTAGACTGTGATATTTTCACCCTAATCTTTTGCTTGAAGGAACACAAAACAATGGAAATATATTACAGAGACCTCTGTTGCAAATTCTTTGAATTCAACTGACCTAAAGAGAGACCCATTTACAGAAATGATAGATTCTGAAGATTTATGAACAGACCTTAACAATACCTGGGATTGTTGTGGCATAAATGTGAGATGGAACTAGAAGTGCCCTGGAGCCCTTGCAGGAACCCTGGGTGCCATTCACACTGGGGGAGATAAGGTGCGGCCTCTCGCATGCTGGGAGTCACCCAGTTGTGGTTAAGAAGACAGGCTGTGCCAGAGGGCCTGGGTGTGAATCATGCCTGTGAACTTGGGGCAGCTAACCTCTCTGGGCCTTTGGTTCCTGTAAGTGGGGATAATAACAGCAGCTACCCCATGTTGTTATGTAATATTGGTTATTATTATGTTGCCCCTGGACAAATGAATACTTTAGATTTCACCAGAATGCTTGGCAAACCCAGAGTTGGTCCTGGTAGGAGGTGGAGACAATTTCATCTCAGACAGAGCTGCCCAGTCAGATGAGGCCTGCCGGGGACCTAAATTGGGCCACACACTCGGCTCTGCTTTCTATGGCTTCTGAAGGGAACTAAGAAACTACATGGATCCCTTTGAGGAAAGACGAGTTTTGGAGGTTTCATTTGCTCACTATGAAAAAAATTCTGCATCACAAAGAAAGACTCATTAAGGTAAATATTTAAGGAAAAAATACATCTGAAAATTATTTAGCAGAAATAAAATACATCTGAAAATTGTTCACAGAAAATAACACTGGAAATTGGGGAGAAAACTGGTCTGACCACAGATGATATGAAGAGCAGGTAGGCTCATTATATTTTAACAAAAATGCAAACACTACATATCAGACTTGTTGACATCCCCAGACCTGTGTTGAGAGGTAAATTCTTGGGCAAAAGTGGCAATTAGGGTTAAACACACAGTTACCACATAGTCCAGCAATTATAGTCCTAGGTATACCCATGAGAATTGAAAACGTTATCTTCACACAAAAACGTGCCCCTAAGGCTCACAGGAGTATTACTGACAATAAACAAAGGCAGAAACAACTCTAAAGTCCATGAGCAGAAGGATGGAGAAAGAAAATGTGACATGTTACTTAGCCGTAACCGGGAATGGAGTTCACATACGCGCTACAACATTGGTGAAACTGAAAACCTCGTGCTCAGTGAAATAAGCGAGACACAAAGGTCACGTGTTGTGTGACTCCACTCATGGGAAATTTCCAAGACAGGCAAAATCACAGGCACAAGGAAGGGGACTAGTGGACGCCAGGGGCCAGGGACATGTGAGGGCTGTGGGCTTGCTTTCTAGGTGATGAAAATGACCTGGAATTAGACACAGGTGGGGTTGTACGATGCTGTGAATGCATCACAATCGCTGGGTTATCCACATGAAAAGAGGGAATTTTATGATGTGTGAGTTCAATCTTAATTTTGTAAAGTAGGCAAAAGGAAATTCTTAGCCTGAGCCATGACGTAATTAATTTTGGAATCAGAAAACTATCAGAGTCTTTCACTTATTTATTTATTTATTTTTGAGATGGAGCCTCAAGCTGTCCCCCGGGGTAGAGTGCCATGGCATCACGCTCACAGCAACCTCCAACTCCTGGGCTCAAGCGAGTCTCCTGTCTCAGCCTCCCAAGTAGCTGGGACCACAGGCGCCCGCCACAACGCCTGGCCATTTTTTGGTTGCAGCCATCATTGTTGTTTAGCGGGCCGGGCTGGGGATTCGAACCTGCCACCTTAGGTGTATGTGGCTGGCACCTTAGCCGCTTGAGCCACAAGCGCCGAGCCGAGTCTTTCACTTAGAAAAGGTAATCAGCAGTAATTTTAAGGAAATCATAGGAAGAAATGACACAGATGAGAAATCAATAATTAGAAAATAGGCTTGGCACCCATAGCACAGTGGTTACAGCGCCAGCCACGTACCCTGAGGATGGTGGTTCAAACCTGGCCCGGGCCAGCTAAACAACGATGACAACCGTAACCAAAAATAGCCCCGTGTTATGGCGGACGCTTGTAGTCCCAGCTACTTGGGAGGCTGAGGCAAGAGAATGGCTTAAGCCCAAGAGTTAGAGGTTGCGGTGAGCTATGATGCCACAGCACTCTGAGGGTGACATAGTGAGACTCTCTCTCTCGCTCTCAAAAAAAAAAAAAATTAGAAAATAAAAGCAGAAACATTAATCAAGTTAATTCAACTGACTTGTTTAATGTGGGAAAAAAGAAGATGTGGGGTCAGAGGAGAGAAGCAACAATAATGTAGAAAATCTGTCACATGTACTGAAAATGAGTACAGTCGTTCCTCAATATCCCTGGGGTGCCAGTATCTGGAGAGGCTCAAGTCCTGATATGAAATACTGTTATATCTGCACCTAATATACACACACCCTCCCGAATGCTTTAAATCATCCCTACAGTCCTTAGAACACTTAACGCAGTGTGAATGCTTTGTAAGTCATTGTTACACTGTATTGTTTAGGGAATCATTACAAGAAAAAAGGTCTGTACATGTTCAGTACAGGCGCGATTTTTTTTCAAATTCTTTCCCCTCTTGTTAGTTGAATCCACGGATGTGGAACCCACAGGTAGGAAGGGGAAGTATATTTCACGATAGATATAAACATTTTCAGTTGTACAAGGAAACTTTATAACCCCAGAACGTTTAATGCTAATATATACCCAAATAATTAACATTTGGGGAGGGAAAGGATAAAGATAGACTGAAAAAACAGCAAAACAGCTGAATGAATCAATAAGCGTTAAGGAAAAAACCCAAGTTATCGAAGAATTTATCCAAACAAAGGCTCTCTTTTCAGCCAGGCTTATAGGTAATTGTTCTAAATTCTAAAGAAACAAAAACTCCTCTGCTGTATTTTTCTTCTGATTTAAGAGGAGAAAAACAAGAATCTGTCACATTCCCCTTGTGACACTGACATAGCCCTGGTCACAAATGTGGACAAAAGTAGCACAGAGACAGCCACAGGAAGGGTGACACCAGGAACACAGCTCTGGGGCCGAGTCCTGACAGCCACACTCAGCCCAGATGGCTCTGTGGCCCCAGGCCCATGGCTGTGGCTGGTGCTATCCTTGTCCCAGTTCAGCCAGTGCGTTGACACTGACAGTCTCCACTCCACATCCAGACTTCTGGCTGCTCTGGAAACAGGAAAAGACCTGACATCACAAGGCCACTCCCTGCATGGGGAAGACAGCGGCAGTGACCAGGGCTGGGCCTCTCAGGCATCTTTGGCTCCCCGAGCTGCTGATGCCTCTCTCCTTCCCAGGGTCTCTCCCACCCTGAGGCCTGGGTCACTGGCAAGGTCACGCTTCATGTGTTATTTTTCTCACTAATGAATGACTTCCCAATGTCCTGAGTCTTTCAAAGGTGAGAGAGGAGGAGAGAATGAGAACAGCACACAGGATGGAAACGCTGCTTCACTCTCGGCAGCACCTGCCTGGATGGGGGAGGCTGAGGTCACGTCCTCTGGTGCAGATGCAGAAGCTCTAAGTGTCACAGGCTCCCTGACACTCAGGCCCACAATCTCAGGCAGGGGCGGGAGACAGGGGAGCTCTGAATCCTCCCTCCTCAGCAGTGTGGTCATATAACCTGTGAGGAAAAGTTCTCACAGGGGTCAGTGGTCACTTTACCTGGGACCCCAAGGTCAGTTCCACTCCTCTCAATCCCACACCAATAGACATACGGTCCTTTGTCACATCCTGCTCTTATCCAGTGGTCACAACAAGGACCCTGCAGGTGCTCTAAACAGCCCCTGGACACCGTGACTCCTGTGTTTCTCCCACCGTGTGTCCCAGCCATACTGATTGGCCCTGGATCTTTCTCAGTGGCCACTCACTGCAGGTGGACACTGATGGAGAAGCAGCTGCCAGCAGGAGCCTGCAGGGCAACTCTGCCCACCTGACCCAGGGCTGGCCTAGGAGCCACTGGAACCTGAAGGACCCAGACAGACTTCTGTGGTGTGGTCATGAGTCTCCACCCTATCCAGATCCTGCTTTGGTTCCCTGATCCACACACCCCACTGGCTTCTTGAGGTTTGTACACATCCAGAACTTTTGTGAACTGGAGATGGGACCTCTGTGAAGTAATTAGGATTATTTGAGGTGATGAGGGTGATGCCCCTAGGATGGGATTAGTGCCCTTGTAACAGACACCAGAGAACTTGCTCTCTCTCTGCTCTCGCCAAGTGCACACAAAGAAGAGCTTAGTGAGCAGGCAGAGAAAAAGGCAGCACCTAAAGCTGGACAGAGCCCCCGGCAGGCACGTGGACTGCTGGGGCCTGGATCCCAGACTTTCCAGCTTCCTGAACAGTGAGGAATGCATGTCTGCCTATGGAATTCCGTTGTGGCGGCCTGAGCTGATACTACACACATGTGCCCCTTTTATCCCTATTAACTCCCAAGTGAAGACAATGATCACGTGTGCTTCTCCCCAGCTCACTCTCTGCACATAGATCTCCCTGTGGTAGCTTTTCCTACTATATATTTGATACATCAATAGATAAAATTATTGTTGTCACTTTGTTTCTCATGTTAGCCTCTTTCCCTGAGTATCTCAACTCTTAAAAAGTTGGTCAAGAATGAACTTCTTCATTACTTCATCTAGTTAGGTCGAACACCCAGGGTTGAGATAGCCATAGTTCTAAAAAGGAACTATTTTGGACAGCGCCTGTGGCTCAGTAATTAGGGTTCCGGCCCCATATACCAAGGGTGGTGGGTTCAAACCCGGCCCCGGCCAAACTGCAACAAAAAATAGCCGG